CAAGTTTGAAGGCCTCAAAACCAGGAAGCTGATGGTGTCCTTGCTATAAGTCCTGGAACCCAAAAGCTGAAGAGTCTCGAGCTCTAATGTCCATGAAGAGGAGAGAATAGTGTACACCAGCACCAGTGGATAGAGAGAGAGAGATTCACCTTTTTTCTTTGTTTTTTGTTCTCTCCAGGCCCCCAGCAGATTGGATGGATCCCACTCACAGTGAGGGAGGGTCTTTTCCCCCCAGTCCACTCAGGCTCAGACTGATCTCTCATAGACACACCTAAAAAGATAGCTTTTCCAGGTTTCTTGGCATTCCTTACTCTAATCAAGCTGTCATCTAGACATTAGAATTAACCTTCACAATAGCCCTCCCTCCCTTTGGACTCACCTGGCAAGGCTCTATCCATGGTTAAACTCACTATCTACTTACTCCATGCCTGCACCCAAACATCTGATGAAAAAACCTGCCAGGATAACTGGTATCATTTTAAATTCATGGTCATAAGTCTCAAGGGTACTGAACCACACTCAGTAACCCTCCTCTGCTGTTCTAAAATGCTCTAACACTACTCTCCCATTCCTTCTCAAAACTTCTACTGCTTTCTCCAAGATCTCCCCCTCAGCATCGATATGCTGCAACATCTCCTATCTTAAAAAAACAATTACCCTCTCTGGTCTGCACATCCTCCTCCAGCTACTGCCTCGTTTTTCTTCTTCCTTTACCTCTCCTTGCCCTTCCTACCCTCAACCTGCCGTCTTTGGATTATTGCCTCCACCCATCTGATGCATCTGTTCTTGCAAAGGTCACTAATAACCTTTGTGTTGCCAAATCAATTGGTCAGCTTTTTTGTCATACTCTATGTGACCTCCCAGAAGCAACTGAGACAGCAGATACAACTGACCCTCCTTCTATGACACTCTTTCTTTCCCAGGTTTTAGGGACATCTCAGTCTCTTGGATTTCCTCTTGCCTGAGTACTCTGTCTCTGTCTTCTCTGCTAGGCCCTTCTCCTCTTGCTGACTTCTAAATGTGGGATTCTTTCTACATTCACTCCCAAGGCAATGTCCTCTCACCATCTATAATTTCATATGACCCCAGCTCCAGCCTGTCCCCCAAACTCTAGACAGTTTACTTGACATCAAACCACCAGTAAGTTCAGTCGACTGTACCTTCAGAACCTATCCAAAATGTGTCACATTCTCTCCATTTCACTTGTTGCCACACCCCTCCGAGCCACTATGTTTACTCATCCAGACCATTGAACTGGCCACCTAACTGGTCACTAGGGTTTCTCTCTTGCCCTCAGCAGCAGCCAGAGTGATCTTTTACAAATGAAATAGGACCACAACCATTTTTCTGCTTATATTTCTCCACTGGCTTTTGTCACATTCAGAATAAAATAGAAACTCCTCTCAGCTCACAAAACTTTACATCTGGCCTTGGATTACTCTTGATCTCATCTCCTACCACCTTCCCTTACCCCTTGAATTCCCAGCTACACTGGCCCTATTTCTGTCCCTGGAACATGCCAAGCTCATCCTGCCTTTGGGTGTGGGGCTCTGCTGTTACCTCACCCTAGAATGTTCTCTCCTCTGACCTTCATACAGCTGGCAACTTCTTGTGGTTAAGATCTGAGCTTAAATGTTTGTAATTCTTAGGAAACCCAACTATAAGAAATATGAGTAATTATGGTTCTCAATTTGCTGGGTGTTTTAGCAACTGAATATAAACACAGGTAAGCTTTTTGTGCTCTAAGTACTGCCTCAACATTTACTTTTGAAAATTATAAAATTCTCCCAGAATTTAAATATATATATACTCCATTAAATTGTCTTAAAGATAGAAAATGGTATCCTAGAAATCATGCCCACTGGTAACCAGACAGCCATGTGAGGCAATGGCGCTGTGTTGCCAGACCTTACTATATGACTGTGGGCTAAGTGCCCACCATCTTCATGAGCAGGAGTTCCCCCACCTGGAAAGTAGATACAATCACCCCTTGCCTAACACAAGGAATGTATGCACGTGTGTGTGCATTTGTGTTTCTGATAACACAGGAATGAAATATCTGTCTTGAACCTGTGTAGCTCTTTTCTCCCCTGGAAAAATACATAACCAAGGCACATGTGCTCAGCACTGCCTTCTGAACTTCTTCTTAAGCTTGTAAGTTCTCTTTATGAGGGGATGCATAGGAGAGCACGTTTATGCAATTTCTTGTGAAAATATATAAAGAAATATGGCTGGCTTCACAAGTAGTAAGTTGATGAAGAAATGATTCAGAAATAAGAGGATAGCGATATGAGCATGGGTAGGTGAGCAATGGCACCTCCCACCTCTGCTGGGTGGTGGGAGGGAGCTGTTCACTGGGCTGGGTGGCACATTTGGTATCCCTGGCCCTTGGTAGTGACCCCTCCCGCCCCACAATCATTGTGTCAACCACAAATGCCCACACAGTTCCAATCACTCCCTAGAATGCTTCAGAATTAATGAATGGCACAACCATTATCTTTGGCTTTATATTTTACAGCAAATGTATCTTATGTATGAAATTTGCTAAAGATACAATTCATACAGCACTTTTACCCACAAAGTTTTTTATGTTATGTTAATAGCCTTTTAACTTAATGCTTTTGTGCCTTGCAAGCTAATTCTGGAACACATTATGTATGTTAAGTGTGGGATAGCTGTACGGGATCTAAACTTACAGAATGGAATTTGAGAGAGCAATCCTGTGACAAATGGTTTGAAGACAAAGTGCCACATCAGTGTTCAACAATATAATTAGTACAGTGGAGGCCATTCTTCCTTTTCTATTTGCTTATGAGAGCACAAGCAAAATTAGGAGTTTGTTTGTTTTTTGAAAGGGTGAATTTAGGAAGCCAAGTAAACAATTTCCTTAGCAGTTCCTGGTTAGAAGGTATCCTAGTATAATATTACACCCACAAAGAACAATGTGACAGACCAGTGTGGTAAGCAGCTTCCAAAAATAGCTCCAGTGATTCCTGCCTCCAGGTATTCATATCCTTGGAGATCCCCCTGACCCTGGGTATAGACTGGACCTAGTGATTGCTTCTAATGAATAGATGGAAAAATAATGAAATATCCCTTCTAAGATTCAGTTACAAAAAACCGTGACTTGTGTCTTGCTTTTTCTCTCTCTCTGGTTTTCCACAGCTTACTCCCTCTCATGAGGCAAGCTGCCATATTGTGAGCTTCCCTGTGGAAAGGCCCATTTGGCAAGAAACTGAGGGCATCCGACAGCCATCAAGAAACTGAGCCTTTAATCCAACAGCCCATGAAGAATCCTGCCAGCAACCATGTGAGTGAGCTCAGAAATGGATCATTGCCTGGCCAGCTCCATGATAATGACCTGTGAGAGACCCTGCAGCCAAGGACCCAGCTAAATCAAGCCCAACTCACAGTAACTGTGAGATAGTAAACATTTGTTATTTTAGGCAACTAAGTTTCGGGGTAATTTGTTACACAGCAATAGATAACTAATATATACCAACTGTGGAAAAAGACAAGGACTACTTGCTTACAGTATGACTCATGCTTTACAGTTTTTAAGACTGAAAAGCACCCAGATTTGTATATTTGAATAAGGAGTAAGGCAGGGCTGAGTACAAAACCTTCCTAAACATCTCTGGCAGAAAAAAAAAAAAAAAAAAAAAAAACAATCCATATGGCAGGATGGCATGGAAGAGAGAACATCTAGAGGCACAAGTTCTGTAGTCAGATCACTAGCTCTGCACATTTGAACAAGTTGTATAACTTCTCTGCAATTCAGTTTCTTTATGAAAAAGTTGTTGATGACATTGGGCTGGACTGTAAGAACTGCTAACATTCTATGATACTGTGATTTGAGAAACTCAAGCAGACCCCACCCCAAAACTTCTTTCTCATTAGCTGGAAATGCTGTCATTAGGAATTTGTTCCTTACTGCTTCCGGGGACTGTTCCTGAAGTTCCTACTCCAGGGGAGAAATTTTGGATGGTGGGACAGATGGAGAAGGAAATTCTATGGATCCCTTTAAGGATAGTGCAGGGAGGTAAGTTCTGGTGTTGCTGTGAGCAGATGAAGGGTAGTGGTGACACCAAAGATAAGCACGGTAGATTTCACTGTTTTGAGGACCTAGTAGCCTTCCTCCTTTCTGGCATTTGTTAACTATATAACTGATCACATTCACCCCCTTACTTTGGCAAGGAAGCTTAGAACAAACTCAAGTTCAGCCATAGTCACTGTGTTAAATTTTATGATTCCTGTATTTGTTTATATCCTTTTCCTGTCTTAATTTTTCTTTTTTTCCTTTTTGTCTTTTTTACTGACCGGTAACGGGATTGCAACCCTCAGTGTCGCGCCTGCACCTCACTCAGCCAGTGAGCGGGAACCGGTCTCCACATGGGATCTGAATCCTCGGCGGGAGCGCCGCTGCGCTCCCAAGCGGCGCACTCTCAAGTGCGCCACCGGGCCGGCCCCTGTCTTAATTTTTCTATTTCTAGTTTATCACATGTGTTTTGTTGCAAGCCAGCTCAATTTCTTTTTTTTTTTTCCTTTTTGTCTTTTTTCGTGACTGGTAACTGGATCGCAACCCTCAGTGTCGCGCCCGTACCACGACTGGCGATGGGATCGCAACCCTCGGTGTTGCGCCCGCACCGCGCTCAACCAGTGAGCAGACCGGTCTCTATATGGGATCCGAACCCTCAGCGGGAGCGCCGCCGCGCTCCCAAGTGCCGCACTCTACTGAGTGCGCCACCGGGCCGGCCCACCAGCTCAATTTCTTTATGGTAAAAGTTGGAGGCATAAATATAATAAACACAAACATACATGTTTGAATTTTTTTTTTCTTACTGTGATAATACAAAGAGAAATAGCAAATCTGGAGATACACTCCATCCTGATTATTTATTTTCAAAATTTAAAGTGAATTTATTTTGAGGGAGAGACAAAGATTTAAATTAGTATAATTTGGAAAAAGTATAAATTGGAAAAATTAAAGAAAACACAAATTGCAACAATGTTTGTACCGTTTTTATTTGTAAAAATAACCATCTGAATGCATTTCCATAGTATATTACAGTTAAGTACTTCAATACATTATTAGAGCATTCAGTAGTTGCAAAAGTATTAAACTGTGCTTGAGAAGATTCAGATTGGTTCAAAGTCATTCACTGAACTAAAAGTCATTTTCCTCATTTTTACAGTCATGACATTTACCAGAGTCATTCAACTCCAATTTACATAGGAAAACATTACAGACAAAATCTCACTGAAATCATCAAACAATATTTTATGCTGTTACAAATATGTTATGCAAATATAACACTGGCACCAGGTTTGAATCATCGTGCTTTGCAAAGATCTATTGCACATGCTAAAGCACAAAATATGTAGACAAAACTACCAAACAAAAGATATTTGCATTGAATTTTTAGATCACTGCATAAGAAACGCATAGAATTACATTTTATACACACACTCAGATTGTCACTATCTTAAAACGCTTTTCCTCTATAATACTGACCTATGGTTTAACAGTTTTGTAAGAAGAAAGCATTTTAGCACTGCAAAATCAATCATAATTCCTATAGAAAACTTTAGCAATTTCATTTTCATTTCAAAGCAAGTAAAAGGGGAAATAGGAAAAAAGACACTTTATACATTCAAAGAAAGGTTGAAATGAAAATTCACTGGTATCATATTGCTCTGATAACACTCCAATGAAAAAAATATGAAACATTTCACAGAACGTTTTCAGAATATACAAATATAAAAAGGCACTCTAACTTCATATTACAAGACAAAAAAGGGAAGAGTTCTTCAACCAACACAACAGATAAGCACACCAAGTTGCTCAACAGTACAAAGAATAACTAGTGCAGCAAATCCATTTGATGTTCTTGTTCTACTTTAATAATAAAATACTAAATCAAGCAGCTGTTTACTGCCTAAAGTACCAAAACATACAGTGGTGCCCTTTTAGTAGTGATAAATAGAAATCCCCTGAGCTATTTACTGTAGAATCATAGCAGATTTTAGGCAATTTGGAGACAGTAATGTATTTACCCAAAATAGGCAGACACTGGTGAACAGGTAAGTGCAGTGAAACATGATCCCTGTGACTGTGGTTAAACTACAGTCTAAAAATAACACATGTAGGCAAAAGCACTAAGCAACTAAGACTCAATTAAAAACCCAATGTTTTCTGTTATTTTTCCTTAGAAAGCTATGTTGCAAACATAATTTTATTTCTAAGAGATGTAGTCAAAACAGAGAAATTACAGTTATTTCTTAAAGAAAAAAATTGGTCTGGTGGGAGGGAGACACACAAAGAGAGAAAGGGGTCGGGGAGAGAGATTGACTGATTCAACGAACAGTTCATCGGGAGCATGATTTCATTTTTTTCCTTTGTCTCCCTTCTATCAGTAAGAGAATGGGGAAAAGTCAAATGGCAGTTCCAGGGAGACTGTGTCTCACGGTTGTTACTGCTTTGTTGAAATGATCCTGTACTCTCTGCTACTCTACAGGAAAAATGTTAATGCTGCTTTACCATTAAAGCAGGCATTTCATTTCTTTCTTTAAATGCCAACTGAGCAAGATTTCCATTCACTTCTAGAAAAAGACACCGCAGTATATTGTGCTTCTTCAACATTGGAGCCTCCTTGTTTTCAGTGTTTTGGTAAAGATAAGGTCATTATTGCTCACTGGCAATTTATCTACTTTTTAAAAAATTCAACTTCTCTAAGCAAACAAAAAAGGCAGAAGAAGGTGGAGAACACACACCAAGAATTCAAGAAACAATGTTGGTGGTGTTCAAAGATTTCAATACCGGTTATCTAAGTCCTTTGAACAAGTTCTCATTTGTGAAGAACCCAACATGAGTTTAAATCCAGGATACTGAAAGAGTAAGATTAAAGTCTTTTATAGCTAGATGAGAAATATAGTACAGTATCTGTATTTGATCCAGATATGATAGAATACTGGCTTAAAAAATATCTCACATACAACCAAAAAATAGAAATTTCGAGGGTGAAAATTGAACCTATCATAAAATGTCAGAGACCTCTGTCCTAATGCAACATACTTCTTTCCTGTCTCTTCTTCAAGTTTCAATAGCACTTGAGCTGGTGATTTTTATTTCTCTTGCTGGCACATGTACCCACACACAGACATCATTTCCCATTAGGTTATTGGGACCATGTGAGATTTTCAGTGTATTTAGGGAAATTTCTGGATCTCTCTTTGCGCCACCTTTGTGTATATGATCCACTACACACTTCAGATTTCATCTTGCAGAAGAGGAGTCACAATGCAGTGTCCTCTAAGCTCTAAGCTGGCTACAGACTGGGCCTGAGTGATGGACGTTGTAACCCTCTTCGACCAACGTGGAAGAACCTGAGGGTCAGCTGAAAACCTTAGCAGTTGAAATGCTGGGTTTGGCCCCAGAGCTAGCCCAGGGTTGAGTGTGTTTTTACATTTTTTTATTATTCCAAATAAGATACACAGCAATTAAACAGAAAACAAACAATGGACGTTTCCTCGGCATTTGTTTCATTTCAAATAAATATAAACACATTTACATCAAAGGTATCCAGACATTTTTTTTTTTTAGTTTGGCAAAAAAATAAACAATGGTCAACACATCATCGGTTACAAATGTTAAGGTGTCAACTAGAAATCTGTGTCATAGCAATATAAAATACAACAAAAACTGTTACGCAAAAAGATTACATTTTAACTCTATAGAAAAGCTACTTCAGTTCTCACTTGCAGTTTGAAGGAAAAAAATTAAATCTTCCATTTTAGACTGAAGCCTTTTGGTCCTCATGTTTAGCTGGCTGATGAACTACATACATCTATATACACACCATATACATGGGCATGTGTATGTGCATAATTTTTAAAGAGTCTCATTCTTCTTTTTGTACAGCTGTTCCAGTTGCGGAACGGGGTCCATTTGACCTAGAAGCTTTGGCAGAGGGAGCAGACACAGTATTCACTATGTCGATTTCATCATCAAACAACTGGCAATTGGCTTTAATTTCTACATCACCCATTTCTAATTTCTATTTTCACAATCTTTGTTCCCTTTTGCAGTCACACTTTCACTCACTTGGCATGACCTTGACTGAGAAAATCATTTAACATTTTACTATTGATGAACAATGCTCATGATTCTGATGTTTTTAAAAAGTATTTTGATTTAAGAACGAATTAACAAAGGGTAGTTTCATATTAAATTTGCATATTTGTCTCAAAGTTTTGGTGCAATATAATTTTCACCTGAAATGCTATTAGACAGATTTGGGTTCCATCACTTGGGTGAAAATTAGTCACAGGCTTGTTAGGGGGAGTACTGGGTGCCATATTTGTGTTAAACAAAAAAAGCAAGTTAATTTTTCAATTCATCTGGCAACGTTGAGAAAGATCCTCAGAAAGAACTTCTGGATATTTAAGTGTTTACTATATGAATAATTGGGTTCCCTTAAAAAGATTATTACAGGCATTATTTCTGAAGACAAACACCTTTACCTTTGGCTTCTACTGAGGAAGTAAACATCAAAGTGAGAAGAGGTTTGGAGGCATTTTCTATCCACCTCTTCCCTCCCCTCCCAGGGGACATGGATGTCACATTGATATACTTCTGAGAACTCACTGCTGAGTACATGAAAAAAATTCTTTATAGTGAACAGTTGCCTCTCTGTTGCATTATCCCCAAAGAAAAAGAATTAAATACATTTTTTATTCCTTACTTAAAATGAGAGGTAGACTTTCACAGAAGTTCCTTAGATCTAAGGAAAACATGAAACGAAACGAAACCGGGGCCCACCCCTGTTAAGTGTTTCACCCTACAGCCTCGCTGCCCTCCCTCTGTTTCCTTCACTCCTTCTCTACCAGCTTCTGGAAGCTTGGGCCCCAAATAATACTTGAACACAACATAAACCTGGACTTCAAGCTGCTTTCCCTTCTTCCAACCCAGGTGATCAAGGGAAAGTTTCTACAGTCCAAAGTCAAAACGTTTCCGAATCAGAATCATTTTCATTGTACCCATCCTCCGAGCCTACGTTGTTACTGCACAGGCTAACCATGCTACCCAGATTGGAGAGGGTCGTCCTGCTCAAATTGTCTTTTTTAAAACAAACGAAGTTGACAGCCGTCATTGTACTGGAAGGAGAAAAAGGCATCATGGTAGCCAAAATGAGGGCCAGGCAGTCAGCCACGTCTTTGTTAGGAGCACAAGCCAGGGCCGGGGTATGACCTGGGCGTAAACGCAGACAAGGCAGTGGTTAGTCCTGGGAGTCCAGAGGAGGCGCCAGCACTCCACAGTACATCTCGTGTGATCTCACAAGCGGAGATGTATGTTGAGTTAGAATCATGCCAGGTAAAAGGAGTTACTTCTCACAAGTCATGCTAGGGGTGAGGCTAGAGGGGAGAGTGAGGGGGAGACACTTTACAGCGGGCTTTTAGCTTTTGTTTTTTTCAGCTCACGTGACTACAGCAAGCATGATATCATCCAAAGTTAGGCAGAGTTCCAGCCGTCATCCAGTGAACAGAAACACGAGGGGGTGGGAGTGGGACACAATTCCACAAAAAACAGCAACAGGACAACCAGGAAGATGTTTCCACGGGAGACCACACGCACACCATGAGCCTCAGGCCTGGGCCCGAGTAGGACTCTCATTCTGAGAACAATGACTTTCCATTGTAGTAATTGTGTGTCAGATTAGAAAAGATATTGAAAATTAGATAACTGTAAAATTGAGTAATGCATTTTGTCACTTTATATATACTTTATAGAAAGTATATACCAATTAACTAGTTTTAGGAATATGGAATCATTTGAGTAGATCAGGCACAGGAAGGCACTGGTTGTTTCTGATTAAAAATTTACTATCACTTACGAGAAATTTAACAGATTTTTTAAAAATAGCCACTCCACCAACCAAAGTCCCCAATCTGTAATGTAATAGATGTGGGAAAATTTCTACGTTTGCCATAATGAGTCGTGCCATTCTCTACAATTTAGATTTGATGGGTCACAGTCCAGATGAGTAAACTGCCTCAATACACAAAATGGGTGCCTTGGGACGGTAGGTTAATTCTCTGATTTAATGACCACCATTATCCAACCATTATTCTGCTGGTCTGAAACGGCTGGTCACCCTCTCTGTTTACCACAGTCCTATTGCACAGTGAGTAGTGCACTCACTCAGTCATTCAGAGGAACTTTGAGTGTAACATTTTGCTTATCGTCACTTGACTGTATGTCCTGTCCCTCCCCACCGCAAGACATTATTCCTCTTCCTGATAATGAAAACAAACAAGAATGGACAGGCATCTTAATATTCCATTCCACAAAGGTCAATGATGAGTAAAGGAATTATGATTTTTTTTTTTTTTAAAAGATGACCGGTAAGGGGATCTCAACCCTTGGCTTGGTGTTGTCAGCACCACGCTCAGCCAGTGAGCAAACCGGCCATCCCTATATAGGATCCGAACCCGTGGCCTTGGTGTTATCAGCACCGCACTCTCCCGAGTGAGCCACGGGCCGGCCCAAGTAATTATGATTTTAGTGCTGTACAAAATTGCCCCCAAATGTTCCCAGACTTTGGGATGCAGCTAAGCTCTGAGACACGCCAAAAATCCCACTGACCCAGGGCTCTTGTTCCTAGGTTGCTATCAGCCAGCCAAACCTCAGCTGCAGCAGATTTTATACAGGAGAAAGGGAAAATTGATTTAGTCTGGTGTCTTTCGTCATTTTGGAGAAAAATTATGGCCCTCTGCATGCCAACCCTAAGATGTATAGTAGTGATAAGGAGGTCAGGAAAGGTGAGGTGGAAAAACCAAGGAAATGGAGTAATGGAGAACTTTCTGCGCTTCCTAAATGAGTCAGGTTGGGGACAGAGCAGGGTACATGCCAGGATCAATGGGGCTGCAAAACCAAAACTAAGAGGAGTTAGCTAATGATGTCAATATGGCTGCTTACTTCTGAGAAATAGGCATGAGCTGCTAATTCCAATACCTGTAATAAGCAGTTGAGTTACATTAATACATTATAATACTTTAATTAAATGTCACAATGAATGCCACATTAAAAAAATTACTTAATTCATAAATATCCAGAAGTTCCTCTTTTGCTCCCCAAGGTTAATAGGCATTGTGATTAAAATGGTAGTTTAGTACAATTGTAGTATTTATTAGCTTTCAAAATTTCTTAGGAAGCAGAGTGGAAAGCTTCTGTTAAGAATTAGTTCATTTTAAAAAGGTACGTTATATAGATCAGGAGAAGCTTTTAAGCCTAGACATTAATTTTAAAAATTTTACTCATGTTCCCCAAATTTCCATACTGGGAATATGAGTTCCGATCTGTACTTTAAAACAAAAAATGGTTTGATCTCAGAATGAACTGAAATACAATCGAAGACCTAAGTTTTTATTCGAGCCCTTGAGCATGCACTAATGACATGTGTAACCCCTAACTCTTCAGCGTATGCAATTAGAATTTTGAATGCCAAGTTGAAAGATTTTTAGTGTGTCTAAATATCTTAACCACCACGCTGAGGAATTAGAGACCAGCTGCTGACATTACATGCAAAATGGACAGCACCGGTGGGCTACAGGTAGACTATGCGTTTTACAAAAAGACAGACAGGACAAATTATCCTTGTTTAGTTTCATTCACGTGGAACTTCCAAGGGGAGAGAATCCTTACTGCCTTTTTAACTAGCTCCTATCTTTCTTATTTTCCTCTGGCTTCAACCAGCATATGGAAGGTACCTGCAGTAATGGTTTACATTTTCCACTTACCATTTTCATCTACAGCAAGTACACAGGCTCCTTTGGCCAGCAACTCCTCAACTACCACCTTCAAGCCATTGCGTGCAGCAACGTGGAGGGGTCTAAAAAACACATCACCGAGCATCAATTGAGGTATGTATTTGTGTGAGCGTGGCATTTTGGTTAGCCTATATCACTAAAAGGAAAAAGTGTCTACAAATAGCACATGGATATTTTTTACTTCTTGAAAAAGATATTTGTTGACCAGATCTTTCCCAGGTGCTAATGATCCAACTGTTCTTACATGTTGGGCCCAAATTTATCTGCAGATATTACAAATACTCTACATCTAAACCAATTTCAACGACAGTAAATAGGAAGAAAGAGAAAGAATTCAAGCACTGTTGTGTTTTGTAGAAGGTTCTTTACCACGTGATTTCTACAATGGCATTTCAATCACTATTTCACACAGCTCATCAATATGACTGGCATTGATGCCACCCATATATATATATATATATATATTAAATGTACATATACAATCTCAAATCTCCTTATTACTAAATCCACAAGGATGTTTTATTGAATTTATAATACCTTAAATAATAATGTCAAACTCAGTATATTGTGCTTATGAATATTAAATGAAAAAAATTCCTAATATTCTTTTGCCTTTACAACAAATGCCGAAGTAATTTCCTAAAATGGAAAATAAAGTAGCATTTAGATCTTTTACACCAAGGGTTATGCTGAATTATATTAAAATATAATTAAGACAAATAGCTTAGAAACTCTTCAAATGTATTCTGGGAACCTAATTTATAAAACAGTCATTTTCCAGTCAGAATACATAATGCTAATACATAATACAAATAGCTTTCCCAACTATGAGTATGTCAGTTCCTAAAGCCCATAAGATTTTTCTAACAGCCCACTAAATTTATATTACCATAGAAATGTCAGTAAAGAAAAACACAGACCTCTATGCAGACATATCAAAATAAGGATTCTAACTAAAACCGTGTGCTTGGTCAGCAATTGCAGGTACATGACTGTCAGCTTCATGAAGGGGAAACTAGCTCTGCGACTCTCATCACTGTGTTCCTCAGCACTAGCCTGGCACACAGCAGCCTCTTATTATTTGTTCTATAAATGACTATGACTTGGGTCCCAGTCAAACTTTAGTAATTACACTTACGTCTGCAGTGAATTATTTTTTGCATTAATAAGGCTCTCATCTTGTATCTTGTCAAGTATTAACAAGGCACATTTTTCATGACCCTAATAAAGAAAAAGAATGATAAGAAACACAGGACACTGACACACAAAAGTTGCTGAAAAATTACTTCATTACTCTTTAAATTGAAAGTGAATTTTCTTTGCCTAAAACATTCTATAAGGCTATTTTCTGAGTAATTTTTTTTTCTTCTAAAAAAGAAAATGGGCCCCAGGTACTCTAAGATTCTGAAGAAGGTCTATTAGGTCTTGGTTAACATAGTCTGATCTAAAATACTAATATTTCTAAGATAATTTTTAGAATTAATGTCCAGAGAGCTAAAGCAGATGCTAGTTTAGCTAGATGGGCTGGTGAACAGAGAGTAGAATTGGGAGTATCCTTTAAATCCTTCAACATTACTTTTTATTTATTTTATTTTTTATTTTTTTGTCTTTTTCCGTGTCTGGCAACGGATCGCAACCCTCAGTGTCGCCCCCGTACCGGACCGGGACCGGCAACGGGATCGCAACCCTCGGTGCTGCCCCCGCGCCTCGCTCAGCCAGTGAGCGGGAACCGGTCTGTATGTGGGATCCGAACCCTCGGCGGCGCGCTTCCCAAGCGGCGCACTAGCGCAGTGCGCCACTGGGCCGGCCCCTTCAACATTACTTTTTAATCATACATTAAGTCCCACCTCCTTCCTCAAGCCTTCAATGATCACTTCAGTGGGAAGTATAGAAATACATATGGATCCATTTGTCCTTGGAATTCCCATTACACCTACTGCTGTTATCTGTACCACTCATCAGCATTGTGCAGAGACTTTACATTGTGCAGAGACCCTATTTCAGGAAAACTCATTCTTTTCTTCCTACCAGGAGAAGATACCTCTGTGTCTTATGATAATTGATAATTGATAACTTTTAAAAATCAATTGATAAGTCAGAGACCCTGTCATGATTTCAGGCCTGGTGTCCTTTTAAGGGATCATGGCTTCCTAAGCACTTGCTAATCAACATGTGGCCCATAGACCAGCAGCATCAGCATCACCTGGGGGTTAGGAATGTTGATTCTGAGGCCCCACCCCAGACCTAATAAATCAGAATCTGTATTTTAACAAAATCCTCAGGTGATTGGTTTGCACAATAAAATTTGAAAAACACTGCACTTATATTCACGAAAATACTATACCTTAAAATAAACTTTATGAATTGAGCATTTTTTATGGTTTCTAGAGGCTGCCCAGAGCATGAAGTGAGAAGGAATGGCTGAGTCTGCTGCTACCACTGGGTATAGGTAACACCTTTAATATTGTAACTACGTCGGAATAAATTACCACCACTGGTGTCAATTGGCATCATAGTATAATGCCTTATATGGGAGACCCTTAAATATAATTTTAGAAATGTCCATGGAGGTTGCACTGCTGGTGGAATGCAAACTGTTGTGACCTTATTAGAGAACGACTTGGTCTTAAAAATGTTCATATCCTTAGACTCAATTATTCCACATTTGGGAATTTATCTTAAAGGAATGAGTAATGATTCCTAAAAAAGTTTTCTGTACAATAAACATTATTTATAGTAGTATACATGTGAAAATAAACTATATGTCTAATAAGAGGAGTTGTGTTGAATTAAAAGATGTCATGTTCCTCAGGTGGAATACCACAATATAATACACAAGGTCTAAAAGAAAGAAATCCATAGTATATGATCCAGTAACAAAAACAGGTTATAAAACAGCATGATCCCACTTTTGTAAAATCATATATTTACATGTATATCATTTATCTTTTATGGAAAGAGGAACCTTGAGCAAAATGTGAATAAAATGCTATTTGAGAAAACAAACATATTCTCTGCATTGAGCTCTGCATCAGAAAAAGGGGGGAAGGGTAGAAATGCACATGGATACATTTATTCGCTTCAAAGTAGAGTATCTTTTGACTGTTATTACAATGCTTCAAATGGAACAAAATGAAAACAAGTGGAACTGCTTATATTTTAGAAGCTGTATAATTAAGGTCCTAACCTGTAATGTGGTCCCACAATTGGGTACCACAATCAGGGAGACAGATAACAGTGGCAGCATCAAGACAGACACACTGTGGCAAGAATGCAAGTGGCATATGGCATGAAAAGCATGTCCTCATCATGCATGCTGATGAAGCATATCCTCAGCAACCTGGTGGGGCTGCCCTTTCCTTCTCCCACTTCCATTCCACTTATAGTTGACGACGTCCTGGGAAAATGTGTATCTTAAAAGCCATGCTCACACTTCTGAGACAGACAGCATTTCAGTGGTATTATCACTACTACTATGATTACTATTACAACACTAAGTAACAATGTTTTAAATTTATTTACATACTTTACTACTAGCCAAATGTAAGGGTGTATTCAAGTCTTTGTCCTTTATAGTCAGATCAGCCTGGGCACTGTTCACCAAAATATCTATGGAAAAAGGCAAAAGAAGGTTAATTAGACTAGGTGCTGATCACATGTATTTTGAAAAAGTTGCTACAAAAACAATAACATTTAAATTAGTACAGCTCACGTCATCATATTTAATGGTTTTAAAGAAAAAAAGAGCAATTTATTGCCATTTTTGGTCTATTCAAATCCAAGGCTGACAGGCATTAATCATATCTGTCTTTACAGTTCATTATTCTCAGGTACGATGATTCTGTTATCATATTTGGTTTCTAAATGTTGAGAAATTTCAGGTTGGCTCCTGTGGATAAGGTCGCCAGTAATGAAGTTACAGAAACTGAAAATAATTGAGCAAACAGAGCTGGGTGGCTCAAGTAAAACTGTTAGTGGCCCTTTTCCACATGTATATACTAAGAGAACAGCTGAGTTCTCGATTTTACGTTATTCTGGGTTTCACATGGGCGTAAGTGTAAAGTCCACACGAGAGCACATACCCACAGCGCCTGCCTGCCCGTTCTCAGCAGCCATCATCAGAGCTGTCTTCCCTGAATTGTCTACTGCATTCACTTGAGCGTTGTGTCTCAGGAGCAGCTGTAAGCACTCCACGTGGTCAGCAAATGCTGCCGCATGAAGGGGTGTCCTAACGATTTAAAACAAATACTATTTCAGTTTCCTTTAAACTTACACTCTCTTTAGTAAGTGCCCAAGAAACATGTGCGCAGTGTTGTTGTAAGGATTGAAAACTTCTCAGTTTACAGAGACAATGATCAGTCCCCCTCTAAAGGCCATTAAGGGTGGACATTAAAGTGTCACCTATGTGAATGGCACCTTCTAGATTTGGGGGGGTGTATGTGATGGCCCTGGTAATGAAATTAGCATCTTCACTGACCCGTCAATCTTGAGTTCCAGTGACTTCACTCTCATCTTTGAGATAGATACTTTCAAAATTAAGCCTTAAATTTATAGGTAATTGGCTGATTAAATAAAAATTTTAAAAGCCTACATCACCTAAGGTGAACAGTTGATTTCTTTGAGAGGACAATTTGGCATTATTTATCAAAATTAAAAGCTACCTTTTAACCAAGTAATTCTACTTCTAGGACTTTATCTGCCAGATACACTTGGTCATGTGCACAGACACATATATGAGAATGTTCACTACACCAGTATTTGAAATAGCAAAATATTGGAAATAACCTAAATGTTCTTCAAATGAGGGAAGACTGAGTAAAATATGGTATACCTATTCAATGAAATAATATACAACTTTGAAAAGAATATGGTAAATCTGTATTTTCTGGTATGGAAAGACCTCCAAGTTATACTAAAAGCAGAGCATTGTTATAGAATGTTCCCATTTACATAAAAAGAATATATGCATAATACATATGTGTACACACATATACATATATATGTTGGTAGATATGTATAGAAAATATTTAGGAGAATATAAAAATTTGGAAAGAACCATTTACAGTAGTCAGTAGCTTTCTCTGTGGAAGAGGCTGGGCATTCTTGGCCAAGACAGATATTTCCTTTACTTATATACCCTTTGTAATATTTAATTCTTAGAAACCATGCTTATATATTATTCTTTCAATTAAAAAAATAGATGTTTGGCTACTCTGCAACCACAAAGCAGAGACTAAGACTCATTAACACAAAAGGCATGCCATGTTAGGAGCACTCACCTGCCTTTGTCATCTCTACAACTGACAATACTGGAATCTATGGCCCCAAGTAGCAATGATGCACAATTCTCATGATCATTTATTCTAAAATAAAAATGAATTTTAATGTAAAAATCTCACTCTTTTAAAATGTATATAACCCCTCCAACCCCATCTTCCTAAGCATTATATATTTAACAATCTAATGCATTTAAAAAAATCTAAAGCAGTGGGAGGGAGGGAGGGAAAAAAATTAAAATGTGATGCAAATATTTGTGGTATAAGTTTCAATGGCATACACTCTGTAACCAGCCCCTGGCATTTCTTCAGAACCTCTATATCCAGGTGGGAGTTCGTCACATACCACTTACACAAGGCATCATGTTAGGTGTTTTAGGGATAACAAAGTAGAAAAGACATGGTTCCTTCAGATTTAAAAATCACTCTGACTCTATCACTTATACTTTCTTTATTGATTTATTTTATGCCTCCAATATTGTTCCAGTCAAATGACCCAACTTCATGTGAAGCCCAGAGACAATGTAATGACAAAGCATCCTCAGGTCCTGGGTCCCCAGACCGACCATGGAAATCTGACTACGTCACTGTATCTGCTGAATAATGGCTCATACTATGAGACTAGAGCAAAAATTACACTTAACAAAAAAAGGCTTACGAAGTATGAAGAATAGGAAATTACAATATATAAAAAGTCTTTTACAAATGTCTTTCCAACCATCCATAGGCATATTGTTGTTAACCCCAACTTATTTTTAGAATTGGGTAGACGAATGTGTTACACCTGAAAATTTCTTCATGTCATTTGTAACATGCCCCTCGTCATGCACTTTACCTAAGGTGGTATGTGTGGCATCACCTTGGAACTATGGCACTCCACAAAAAACTCCTGGAAAATCATTAAAATTAGGAGCCACACTTTGCTATCAGAACTATTTGTCTTTCGCAGCAAATGGAATATTTTAGTCTTATCCGTAATCTAAAAGCTTTCTCCTTCCTTAACATGCAATTTCTCTACATGAAATTAAAGCAACTAAAACAACTCAACTCACTTCCAGCATTTCTACTTACATTGCACAGTGCAGTGGAGTGAAGGGATTACCGATAAATTTGCGAAAACATTTTTGCTCCAAAAGTACCTCTATACAGTTTTCATTACCTGCAAGGAATTGAAAGAATTTAGGGAGTTTCCAAGAAGGAAACTTTGTTCAACATAAGCTGTTTTTTTTCATTAAGTATTGAATTCTGGTTTATGAATTTTCCTGAATTTTCATTACCTGCAAGGAATTGAAAGAATTTAGGGAGTTTCCAAGAAGGAAACTTTGTTCAACACAAGCTGTTTTTTTTCATTAAGTATTGAATTCTGGTTTATGAATTTTCCTGAATTGGCTGAATGCTCATTCTCCATGGGATAAAATTAACAAAATGCTAAAATGTTATTAACTATGCTCACAGGTGTTCTAAGACATAATGAACAAATAAAACAATGAAGACCATATGGTCTGGTGAAGAGAGAGAAAAGACACCTCATTTATAAGCAGAATAGATTCCCTTTTACTCTCAGATCTTGATAGATGCTTAAGATATGCGTGCCTCAGTTTGCCCATATTTATAATAGGAAATTTACCTTTCACCTACATGAATAAGCTCACTTACAGTTATGCACCCTAGTGAAGGGGAGATGATATGAACAGAAGAAAGCAGTATTTGAGATAACGCATGTGAAAAGGCTTTGACTGTAAAATACTGCATAAGTGTTTTAAATGGCACCGAAAACAGTTCCTGGCACTGAGTAGACACCCAATAAGTTTATGAAAGAATGTGAGAAATTATTTTCAACAAAATAACAGGTAGTTTCCAAATCAACTGATTTTGAGTTAAGTAGTAAGGTTCCAGCTCTGTCTGATCTCTCAGCCTCAGTTTTCATGTATAGAAAATCAGACTAGGAATACCTGCCCCACCTATGTCACAGAATGATGGGAGCTTTACTCAATAAAGGACCTTAAGGTGATTTGTGAAGCACTGTACACCTGTAGGCAGGAAGGCATTGCTAGTTGGCTTTGGAATACAGGTTGTTGTCCTGGAACATCTTGGCTGAACTCAGTGTTAAATTAAGTGAAAATTCTCTTGTGATCTACCTCAGAATGATGTAGGCTGGACAGTTTGAAGTATTAAAGTACAAATCAAACCTTTATTATACCTAAGCAGAGAAAAGGTGATACTGCTTTTAGGAGTATTAAAAAGCTTATGAAATAATGAATATAAAAAGTCCCTAGCTTTAGGCAAGTTATACTGTGTAGCTTTTCAACCACATCCAACCCACACTCAAATAGTTCCACACACCTCAAGCCCTCTATTAGTATGAATGTCCCAAAGAACCTAGCTTAGGGAAGAATCTACATATACCTCTCCTTAGGTGGAGACTGTATGAATCCCAACCTAAGAGTCTGTGTAGGTAGGACTGGAGATTAGATTATTGAACTACTTTCAATATTTCAAAATGCCCAGTGAAGAGGATTCTGGGAAGATGGGGGCTTGAATCTCAGACCTGGAAGAAGGCTGAACTGAAAAGGTAAATAGCTTAGGAGAGGATTGCTCTCCCTTCTCTGCTAGGACCCGGAGAGGCGTAAGAATGGAGAGACCTCCCACACCCACCTCTGGGGAGAGGATGTGGTCTGTGGCAGGTTTGCTGCCTGCCATTGTAATCAATACTCCTACTGCATCTTTCCCATCCTGTAGGTTCTCCAATGCCAGAGAGATCTCACAGCTTGACCCAAATGGGGATTAGGGAGCCTTCAGACATTAGTAGATTTTTAAAAATCAAAATCTTGCAATGGCAGGGAGGGAGAAAATCTAGTTGAAAAACTAGAAACTTTGGCTCTTATTGAGGCAGAATCAATTTAAAAAAAGACTGTAATGAAAACATGAGAGGGCTTAAATCAATATAATTAGAGCCCCCCCCAAAAAACTTCCTGAAACTAAAGTTTCTAAATTAAAATTTTAATAGAATAATTAAAAATGTAAAAATAAAATTATAGAAGCAAAGTAAGAAATATATTTTCAAAAAATGTGCATATAATCGTAGGGGTAGAAGACCTTTTTAAGCAAGACTGGAAACCTAGATACCATAAAAGAAAGATCTGATAGATTCAGCTACATAAAAGCTCAAAATCTCTGTTGGAAAAACAAGAAACAAAAACATTTGCAACACACATCACACACAGAGGAGTCCTATCACTAAGACAAAGTGCTTCTACAAATGTATGAGAAAAGATAAATAACTCAATAGAAAAAAAGAGAGCAATGAATGAAAAAGATATTTTCCAGAAGAAGAAACACAAACAGCCAATAAATATACTATTAGAGAGGGAAATGCAAATAAAAACAATGAGATACTGTTTTTTGCCCTTCAAATAGACAAAAGTAAAAAAGGTAATATCATCCTGGGCTGGCAAGGGTGATTTATACACATTTGGTTGGAGTAATAAATTACGATACCCTTTTTGTAAAGAAATATGGTATAATTTATAAAAAATTAAAAAATATATATGCCCCCTTACTCAGTAATTTCACTTCTGGAAACTTATCTGACACAATTTATCGTACTATAATATGAACAAAAACATTGCCGCATTGTTTGTAACAGGAAAAGTCCTGAAAACAGTCTGAATGTCCATCAACAGGGATCTGGTTGAATAAATAATAAATGCTGATGTATATATAGCTATGAAATAATATACAAGTATTAAAAAGATCAACCTACATTGATACATATTTACTTGTAAAGATGTCTGCAATAGAATTTTAAATAAACACCAACAAAAAATAAAGTTATAGAATGATATTTGTTATATGACTCCAGTTTAAAAAACAGATGCACATTCATTTGAACTTTTTTTTTTTTTTTTTTTTTCCGTGTCCGGCAACGGATAGCAACCCCTCAGTGTTGCCCCCGTACCGGACCGGGGACCGGCAACGGGACTGCAACCCTCGGTGTTGCCCCCGCGCCTCGCTCAGCCAGTGAGTGGGAACCGGTCTGTATGTGGGATCCGAACCCTCGGGCGGGAGCGCCACCGCGCTTCCCAAGCGGCGCCCTATCCCGTGCGCCCCCCGGCCGGCCCCCCCATTTTAACTTTTTTTTTTTTTTTTTTTTTCCGGGCCCGGCAACGGAAAGAACCCCCCCAGGTTTCCCCCC